TTTAAGTGAAATTCCTCGAGAAAAAGCAAGCCATTATTACTGACTTGACGAATAGACATTGACTGTTGATCAGTCATCAAGAATAGACCAAGTAAAATAATAAATGTTCGGTATTAATGGCCATACTCTGTATTTTATCTGCCTAGGCTCAAATGTTGACGACTATTATAGGCATAATACATAGGTCTACAAATTATTGTCCAGTACTTACAATACCGTAGCCAGCTATTGGGACAGTTGGGACAGTCCCACACAATTATTCTAATGGGTCCACATTTTCTAAATAATGGGTCCAAATTATACAATTTTATGCATAAAACGAGTCCACTTTTAGAAATAAGGGGTTCAGATTTCTCATATTAAGCCTAAATTTAGTAAAATCTTAAGAAAATGAGTCCAGATTTTTCATATTTTTGCGAAAGATGGTTTTTCAAAGTGCACATGAGCCAGATCATGTAAACTGAGCCTACGGTTATAGTCCTTTCGGAAAAGACTTCATCCACCAGTGATAACAGCGCCAACAGTCACCCAATTTCAAACCTTAGCACTGCCAGTACTGGGAGAGTTGCTTTTTTTCAGCAACCCATCAAAAGCTTTAGCGACCGAAACGCTTTCAATTTTTTACTTGCACCTTTTTATTTATTAAATTTTATACACTGACTGGTTATGTGAGCACCAAACAGCACACTCCACAGCACGAAACCTCCTAGGACAAGCAAGATGCTTTTTATGGAGTACCGGTATTTAACCCAAGACTCAAGACCCGGCAGAGAACCATAGGCGAGCGTGCTACTCGAACCAATGCCGATATTATGGCTGTTACGTTGCGGCGGCCCCTACCTTAACCGTGCTACCATCCAACTCACACACATCAAAATCGTGACTGCTTTATGTATTGTAGTGCCTATATTATATTTATATAATGATTATATAATACTTCAGAGCAATTACATGCTATACGATAACTAATAATATCAATGATTCAAACAATCGTACAAATTAAACAAGTATTGCATATTATTATATTGATATAATGATTATAATACTTCAGTGCAACCACTATGCTATACAATAAGTAATAATAGGTATCAGTGAATCAAACAATCGTACAACATTTATTAAACAAGTTTCGTGCACAGTAGTAGGCCTAGTTACGGTAGTACACTTCTTCAGGTCTACAACATGCAAGCGCTGCAGTCTGAAACAAAAGTTTCTATAATAAACAGTGGTGCTAAATATACATTAATGAGCCTAAATTATCAAAATATTTATACAGGTAATAAATATTAATTTTTGCATAATCATAATTCTAGCTTTAATTTCTTCTCAATGTTCCACAGAGCCTGATTACTTTTGTACGAAAACTCTTTTTTTTTTCATGCTCACGACAAGTGTTCATACAATAATGCTTATAAGATTAGGTTTATAACCCTGCCCCAAAAAGTGATAGAGCACTTTTTTTAAAACATGATTACTTTAAACATTCAATACAATAGAATGCTTTAAAGCTAGGTTCCGGAAGAAAATAGTTTTTTTGTTTTTTTGTTTGTTTTTTTGTTTTTTTTTTGTTTTTGTTTTTTTTTTTTTAATAGGGCCTATGTTGTACAGCTGATTTTTTTTATAAGACAAAAAGGGCGTTTGACGAAAAACTCTGAACGATTAATGAGATACAGATTTTTGAATATTTAAAAACTGGGAGAGAGGCTGAAAAGGACGGTGGTTACGCTCCTTTCTTCCAGTTTTTGAATATGAAAAAATCTGTATCTCAGTCACCGTTCCCTAGTTTTTCGTTAAATAGAATAGAATAGAACATTTATATATGCGCCGGTATCGCCAGACATGACGCTCATGGCGCTTCTGCAAATGTTTTATCCGTTATAATATGTAGCACAGAAAAGGGAATGTTTTTAGCCCTCTCTTGAACCTTCCAAGATCCTGTGTTGGGGAGACTATTCCATACTTGCCGAGGCAACAACAACAGGGCGTTTTCCTAACCTGGTATTCGATGATACACACTATTTTTATGTCTTAAAAAAGTTGTAGGCCTACAACATATCCACATTTATTTTTCTACGGAGCCTAGCTTTCAATACACAAAATTTAAAAAAAATGATTCTTGATGTGTACGGGGGTATTAATCATGATTTTAATAAAATATTTCCCTGAGGCCTAAAACAAACTACACCTTTTTTTTTTTTATTAAGAACACATTTTATAAGAACACTGAGGCTGAAATTGCTTAAAAATTAAGAACAAAATAGGAACAATTTGAGGCTGAGGTAAAATGTTCAATGAAATTTTTAAAAACTAGAAAAACCAAAAAATATCTGTACCTTATGTGTAGGTGCAACTATGCAAAACAGTAGGCATAAAATAGGTGTACATATTTACCGTAGGGTACCGTACCTGTCATTTGGGGCCAATTTTACCTGGGCCTTTTTTCTGGGGCCTACTTTTCAGGGGCCACTTTTACCTACGTTTCAGTACAGTGTACTGTATAATGCTTTACAATGATAATCTTTTATGTTTGAAAATTGTGTAAAATAAAAACAAAATAAGAACATTTTGAGCTGAAATCGGCCAAAAACACTGATCCTGGGCAAACTTTTACTGGTTCCTATAAACAAAAAAAGTGTAGGATTTACACTGAACTTTAATGCTATGTATTTTCATAACATGTGACACTCTAGTTATATCAATGGGAAATTATAATCGATGGGAAATTATAATCGAAACTGTTGTAGATATTTTACGCTGTTCAAAAGACAGATCAAATTATTATAATGCCGTATAAACATTAAGGTCAATTTCATACAATAGCGCGCAATCATTTTCAATTATTACATTATTCGCACAAATAGAATACAATTAGACATAAGCTTGAGTTGTTTTTCATAATTAGGTTTCAAAATCTATCGCTATACGCATCCGTTTTTGCACAAAACTTTCAAGCGAGTGTGGGCAAAAAAAAACACCCCAAAATAAATAAATAAATAAATATAATAAAATAAATAACAGCGACTGAGTGCATGTTATACAAATTGATGACAGGGGTAATCGTTTGTTTAGAGAATGTTTAGAAATGAGGTGGGGTGGATGACAGAAAAAAAAATTGGAATACGTGTGTACATGTCTATGTTTTCGTTATCTGTACCACTAAATATTTTTCAATTTTAGTTCTTACTAGAAATACCATATTATCATACCACATCATTATCATCGCCATCATCGTCGTCAATAGCACCATCATCGTCGTCACCATCATCATTATCATCATCATCATCATCAACAACAACATCATCATTATCACCTTCATCATAGTCTCAACGACAGCATCATCATCATCATCATCATCATCATCGTCATCATTATCATCATCATCAGTAACATCAAGAGCAACATCATCATCATCATCATCATCATAACCATCGTCATCATCATCATCATCATCATCATCATCATCATCGTCATCATCATCATCATCATCATTATAAATATTACCAATACAATTATTACAGCATCTAGCTTTCTGTCTGGCTTGTGCTTCGGATCATTGATAGCTACACACGTAAAGTCAATTCGATAAGATTGAGGTGAGAGTGTGTTTCGTTTATCGGCCGTGTTGGTCAATGGCTGGTGGTGGACAATCACATCAAATACACTGGATAAATTTCACATATACTGTACGGCACCACATATGAAATAAGTAGGTGGTGCATAGGTGATAATTCAAATGTGCGTGCAAAATTTGTGGTCGTGAATTATGCTTCCGACCTTGGACTCGCGGAGATATTTTAACCCTATTAGTAATTTTATAAGTTCACGAATTTCATGGCATATTATAGCACGACATTCAAATCAATAGCAAGTTTTTACTGCTGTTTCTACTATGTTAATACGGCGGACAACTGCTGCAGGTTGTAATTAATGTCTTATGTCGCAAATACTAATATCCGTGGTTAATGCAACTCTACACTAATAAATTTACACATTGTGAACAGTGAGAATCGCAAAACTTATCAAAGAGCTGACTCACATGCGTCGGCCGACCATGGGTGACGAATTCGTCCACGCTATGTGTGAGCGCTTGACCGACATCCGTCGCACGTGGATTCTCGACGCGTCGCGGTCTTTCGTGGAATCACGTCGGGCAACCATCGGCGACGATGTTTATGAGCCTGCCTTCTAAAAGGCCGACTCACGGTACGTCGGCCGATCATCGGCGACATCTATTTCCTTGCTCCTTGGGTCTGCTCCTGCTCATATGACGCTTCTGTGGCAGTCAGGTCTGAGTGGATCGTCGTTGAAAACAATGATCCGTCCTCTCAATTCGCCGTGGTTTTCATAGAACCACGTCGGTCGGACTACCGTCGGTGACGCGTCTAAGCCTCTCTTAAGATGTCAATCATCATGTCTGGATAGATACATTTCTCGGATTTTACTATTACTATAATACTGCAGTCACTCTTGTTCAATTCAATATATTATTCACTATAGACATTGATTCAGATGATTTATTATCATAACATTGAGAATGGCAAATCTTTGTAAGCTTAATACTCGAACATTGGGGAATAATCTATTGACGTTGTGGTAAATCTATGGTATTAACGTGGTCCAGCTTTATGTGTAAATGATGAAGAATTGGATAATGAAAATTATGCTAGAGAAATACTTTTACTACGTTGTGTCCTGGGTCTTTACCCTGCGCTTAAAGTGGTATGTGTACCATTAGTTTAGAACAGATCACCGATGCGTAAACCCGTGCGTAAATGAAGTATGTAGCCTGCAGGCCTACGGGCATCTATAGTAAGTGTTTAGTCCGTGTGTCATTGAACACAAATCAAATGGACAAAATAAATGTACGTTTTTCTAATTATGTTACTCTGAAGTAAATCTGGCACAATAGCGGAATTTTGCTTTGATATAACATGGCACTTAATAATTAGAAAAAAAAACCAAATCTTTTCGAATGAACGAGGAATAAGCAAAGTTCTTACCTGTATCATGATCACTGTCACCAGGAGCAGTTGGCAGACGATATGTCGTACGCGCGCCATCAATTAAAATTCATTCACACAGGCCTTTGGATCATATTAAGATATTGTATAATAAGAACGTGTTCATACTTTCCATACGAAACGTGAAATTATGTTGGCAATCAGTTTTATTAGAATCCTGGCGATGCTTGAAGTATAAAATACGGTACAATTCGCACCAGATCTTAAATTGAATGGTTGTTCCAGTCAGCTTATAAATTAAAACATTTCTCCAAGAAAGATACGATTAGTTGTGTGCTCTTAAACAGAATTGGTTAAAATCCTTTGACGATTGTTGACGACGTATGTTGAGGGAAGAAAGGCTTGTCTTTGATGTGTTAAAGCCGACGTTTGGTTTTCAGTACAGTTGTTTCCTATGAACTGGGTTTGCGATAAACGTGATCATACGTGAATCTAGGGTCTTTCGTGATTCGATCGCTTTATGTTGGTTGTGTACTTTGTCGCTGTCTGTGTACTGATTGAGGGCTTGTAGCATCGCTTCAAGTTCACTACTGATTTACGCTGCAGATGTCACGTGTCATAGCAACAGCTTCTGTGACATCATGTAGAAACAGTCTGCATATGCAAGTGAAATATTGCTCAGTGAATTACAAATAGTGTTATTATAGTTTAAGTTCAAAATTCTTCGTGTTTCGTTCAATAACCTGTCTTATTTAAATGCGGGCCGAGCGAATCCCTGCACGATGCATGTTTGCTAACTATTTTCTTGTCACGTTAACGTAAACTTTACGGAGGGTATAGTAAACATGCAAATAAAACGCTTTTCAATTAATCAGGGAATACTTCGTTTTGCATCTAAATTGTCGATAAAAGAAAACATGATACGGTGCTGATCCCTTGAGAATGTGTCCGGTTGTTTGTCTGTCAATCAGGGTGATGTCATAAAGGAAAAATTTCAGTGACTAACGACTGCAAACAAGGAAATAGCAGGTAACCCATATAAAGTGTAAACAGCTACCTAATTACATTATATAATGAATAGGTCATTATTATTAAAAATGAATAGGTCATGGCCTATAATCCTAAGTAACTTTTTAAATATTTATTTATATTTATATTATTCTTATAGGTCTACCTTTTTAAAAGTAGGCTACTACGTTACATCATTCTTATTTTTAATAGAGCTTTTATATTGTGCCAAGCGTTGAAAAAGACTACAGTAGTAGTCGAATATTCTTTTGAATATATTTAAATGTTTCTGGGGTTTAAAAACAGTATTTATTACAGTTAGATATACACTTTGCATATGATCAATATATTATACACCGTATTTGATCAGTATAATTAATTTATTAAACAAAAGATGATTTGCATGCAAAAATTCAAATCAAATTTTTCTCCTTGTAAAACGGCATTCAATACCATATAAATAAAATAACAAGTGGCGAAACCTAACAAATACTAGCTTGATTTAATAAGCACGCACAAAACTATAACTATTTTAACTACTAAATAACTGTTATTTAAATAATACTATGAGTAATAATGTGAACAAGATTAAATGAATACAATATCTACCTGTGATGATGTAGGAATGTCGGGATTGAATAGTTGAATAATTAGGGCTGGATATGAATTCCTTCTGAAGAGCAATATCAGGATCTGGTTATTTATATAGTTTATTTTATTTTATTTATTTTATTTTATTTTACTTTATTTATTTTATTTTACTTGATTATTTTAATTTAATTTTATTTTATTATATTTTCTTTTACTTTATTTTTTATTTTATTTTATTTTATTCAACTTCCAGATAACAATACACATTGGAATGAGAATACATTAACCCGAATATTGCCATGAGTACAATCAGAGCTTCTCTCAATATTGCATCAAAGCCTCACAACTTACAAGTGGGAGAATAATCAAGTACTGTACAGCCCCTCCCCCCTCCCCCGGGGCAGTAGACACAAAAATTGTACAGAGAACACAGGGCAACCAGTAATATTGAACTATAAATATATCATAAATATTGAAAATACCAGCTTCTTTCAAAGGTTAGCAAAGGCCTACATTCCGGTGATAGACCACCTTCTATTTTACTTTTTCCCACACGCACCTTGCTGTGTACGATTTACGGTACACCCCTTTTCCCGGCCTCGATGCTGTTTGCCAATAAATTATTGTTATACTTAGACAACAGGTAATATGTCCAACGGGAATTTTGCTATTTTAGTAAGCGTCCCCCACCTGGTCAACGGATTATTACCAAACAATTATAAAATACCAAAAGCCTGGTATTTTTTATTTAGGGCTATCCAAAAGGACTAAACGCAGACTGCACCACGAATCGTTTTTTCTCGGTATTTTAGCTGTTGTTTAAATCAATTT